TGTGTGTGTGTGTGTGTGAGTGTGTGTGTGTGTGGAATGGGGTGTTGTTTGTCTGTGTGTGAGTATAATGTGATTGTTGATGTTTTCTGGTAGTGTAGGGGATATTTACAAAACAGCAAGGGATACGTTTGTGTTTCCTGAGCTCTTAGGGACCGAAAGCCGAGACACGACCATGCCCCAACATTGGTGAATAGTGTTATTCCACACTTGTCAGACTCCCACTGCTTTCAGCAGGGCTGAGTGGTGACTGCATCAGCACTTTAAGAATCCATGCTGAGGCTACCTTTAGTGTCACAGCAGCAAATTGCTTTCACAGTGAGATGGTGGACGTCGACTTTTTACGGTCAGTTTCATCATCCATTGACGTTTGTCCCAACCAGCTTTTATGGCCACAGAAGGTTGGTCCAGTTAAATTTCAGGTCAACGGTGACCCCCAGGAGTTTGGTAGTGGCAGATTCAGTATTGAATGCTGCTGGAGATGGTGACTTTCTGGCACTTGTCTGTTGCCCATTCACAAATGTATGTTTTTCAGAAATCGCCTATGTTTTCGCTTCAAAGTAAGGGATACCCAGGATCAATTTTGAAAATGGATAGGAAGTCAAGTGAAGAATAGAAAGCGATGAGGACATGTTCAATAATAGTTTAATATGAAGCAAAAATCAACAAATCAATTAGAATGCTGAACTATCGAGCTGAAGAATGCTGTGTAAATCAAAAGGATTCTTACATAAACTGGATGGTTCTCCAGCCTGCTTGATTTAGTTCTGGTCACCAAGACCTAAGAGAAAGTTCATACAGTGGAGGCTGTGCAGAGAAATGTCCAGGAGACTGATTCTGAAGAGCAGGAGAGGCTGGAAACTGATTGGCTTTTGAGCCTAAACAGGAAGTGTCCAAGTGGTGATCTCAAAGAGGAATATCAGAGTTAAAGAGATGGAAAAGATAAACTCAAAACACTTTCTCAAACTGAACAAAAATAGGGCAATCAGAGAGGGAGGATGTCACAAAGCCATTGAGAAAATGGGCAAGGGAAGCGACTAAAATATAGATTTGTTGTTGTTGTCTTACCCACTCATAGCTGAAGATGTAAAATGTCATTGAATGCAAAGCGATAGACCACCCCATTATCCAGCCTGTCACTCTGGTGCAGTACTATAGGAGTGCTGCATTGACAGTGGTGCTGTCTTTCAGACAAATCGTCAAGCTAAGGCCATGTTTACCTGTTCAGATGGAAACGAATTTCAGTTGGAAGAGCAAGAGAGTTCTCACGGGCAAAACCTTTCAGCTAATTTCACTGAAACGGATTAAACTAAAACCAGTTTTCTCAGCTGGGTGCAAAACTCCCTGTGGCACTATTTCGAAGAAGCATGTGAGAGTTATCCCAGTGCAATGTTCAAATCGTTACACATTAATTAACATCCCCAAAACAGATTACCGAGTCATTATGGCATTGCTGTTTGTGGGAGCTTGCTGTGCCTGAGTTGGCTGCTACCTACACTTCAGAAATATTTCATTGGTCTGAAACACTTCAGGGACATTGTGGAAGCCTGTAAACAAATCCAGCTTCTACCTTGGGTTCTGGGAATGAAGGAGGACCGTTTTGACTATTTGACTGAATGCCACATTAAGCCTCACCAAACTTGTGGGAGCTCCATTGGGGTTGTCCCTGCTCCAACTATTGTCAGGAGTCCACCAGAAATCCCAGTTGTGTGCATAAACTGATAACAGACATGTGTTCAATTGCAAGAGGACATTTGAGAAAATTCCTCCCATTAGTATTATTCCTGGAAAGTGGAGTGCCAAAGGACAGTGTAGAGAAATGTCCAGGAGACTGGTACTGAGGCAGAGGAAAGGAAAAGATAAACCTACAACACTTTCACAAACTGAACAAAAATAGGATAACCAGATTCTGACGCCTCAGAATCAGCCTCCCATACGTTTCTCTGCCCAGTCCTGCTATCTAGATTAAAGACTTGGAGGAGACGGCAGAATGAAATGTATTAAAATTTACTGATGGTACAAAAATAAGTGGGAGGGCGTATTGTGACGAGGACATAAGGAATCTGCAAGGGGATAGGTTGAGTGAGTGGGCAAAACTTGGCAGCTGGAGTTTAATTTAGGGAAGTGTGAAGTCATGCACTTTTGTAAGAAGAATCAAAAGATAGACCATTTAAATGGAGAGAGACTCCAAAACAGTGCAGCACAGAGGGTTCTGGATGTTCTTGTGTGCGTGAAACACAAAACGTTAGCATGCAGTTGCAGCAAGTAATAAGGAAAGCAAATAGAATTGAGCTTTATTGCTTGGGGATTGAAGTTTTAAAAACAATGAAGTCTTGCTACAACTGGGTGAAGCTCCACCTGGAGTATTGTCTACAGCTTTTGTCACTGTATTTAATAAAGGACATATTAGTATTGGAGACGTTAGAAAAGAGATTCACTCAATTGATTCCTGGGACAAAAGGATTGACTTATCAAGAATAGCTAAACAGGCTCTGCCTTTATTTATTAGAGTGTCGAAGAAAGAAGAATCTTATTTAAATATACAAGATTCTCAGAGGTCTTGACAGGGTAGATGTTGAGAAAGTTGTTTCTGCTGTTGGTTGGAATCTTAAACGGGAGACACAATCTTGAGTTAATGACCAATCTGTGTATTGTATGAGACATTATATGGAGTTTTCATCTGACCTCTGAGATGGATGTAACCCCTGACCCCTGACCCCAGTACTATTTGAGGAAGGGCGGTGGGATTCTGTCAAGTGTCCTGACCAATAATGTTTCTTCAATCAGCATCACAGAACCTCTCATCTTCAGGTTATTGTTTGTGGGATCTTGCTGTGTGTGAATTGATGCTGCTACTTTCTCTATGATGGCTATGCTTTAAAAGAACCTAACTGACGTAAAACATTTTAGATTACCATATGAGTGAGATATCTTTCCTTTGTGAACCGTTCCTTTGGTAGATGCGAGAGGGAGAGCAGGTAAAGTTCAGTGAGGGGAGCTACATTCAGACTTGTCCTGAGCATCCTGGGAAAAGTAAAATGTGTTGCCTGGCACATCGGGCATGTGAGCCAGATTGCCTACCTCATACCCAAGTCGAGTTAAATTCCTTGCCAGTGGAGAAGCCTGACTTTTCTGGAGTGGTGTATGTAGTTCTCGTCTTGTTGTTTTAGGAAGGATATTATTAAATTGGAGGGGCTCAGAAAAGCTTTACCAGGATGTTGCCAAGTATGGAAGGTTTGAGATATAAAAATAGGCGGGATAGGCTGGGGCTTTCTTTCACTGGAGTGTAGGAGGGTGAGGGATGACATTATAGAAGTTTATAAAATCATGAGAGGCATAGATAAGGTGACTAGCTAAGGTCTTTTCCCCAGGGTAGGGGAATTCAAAACTAGAGGAGCAGTGTGGATTTGTTGGGTCGAATGGCCTGTTTCCACACTGTAGGGATTCTAGGAGGCATATTTTTAAGGTAAGAGGAGAAAGATTTAAAAGAGACCTGAGGGATAGCCTTTTTTTAAACAGAGGGTGGTTTGTGTGTGGAATGGACTGCCAGAGGATGCAGGTATAATTACAACATTTAAAGATATTTAGATGAGTTAATGAGTAAGAAAGGTTTGACGGATATGGGTCAAATGTAGGCAAGCGGGACTAGTTTAATTTGGGATTATGGTTGGTATGGACTGGTTGGACGAAAGGTCCATTTCCGTGCTTTATGACTCTATGACTCCATTGCTTGCAAGTGCTTGGTGCAGGCACGAGAGCTGAATTTTCAGTGGCCACTGGAGATTGGTTAAATTATGGTCTAACAGAAAATCACACCCTCAGAGGGCATTACCAATTTGTGACACCTCAGTGATACACTTAGATTGACAAACAGAGGGTGAGGGGTGGGTGGAGCCATTTTGCTGTCTATTTAGATGTCTGATTTATCTTAAAGAAATGCACCAATGACACTAGTTGTAAATCTAAAAAGATTTATTTCCAGTACTTTAAAAAGTCCTAAAACTTATAGGATTCTGTAGACACAGATATCTTAGCTGGAAGCCACCTATTCCCCACTTCAGTGGGAGCTTCTCTGTTTATTTACCTCTCTAGAACAGGCCATAGGCTTCAGCAAATAAACACAGTTAGATTAACATCATGCAACACAGCTCAATCAAACCATCGAACGCTATAGCCAGCAACCTGCATATCTCCAATGAAATGCTTCTGGAGCTTATTGTACAGCTTATTGTAGAGCTTGAGTAAAGTATGGACAGCAACAATTAGCAATTTTCAAATAGCAGGCTCAGGAAATGTAGAAGTTCTGGGGAACATCTGAGCACATCAGTGAGAGGCACAGCAGAGAGAAATGAGTGCTTGTGACTGCAGTGTGAGTAAGTTGTATGATAGCAGAGACTTAAATGCTGTTGCTCATGGAGTTGCACAGAATGACCATCCTCGGAGTTGGAAGGTTTGGTTTGGCTTTGCTGACACATCCAGCAGAACCTGTTGGTCTGATTCAAAGGAGGGAGGAGCAGCTCTGCTGTCCATTGATCATTGAGGAGGGCCTCACATCAGACAAACACTCGGCCGCCGAGCAACCTCTGTCCAAACCATCACTGCCCCCACCCTGCTTCTCCTCCACATCAATTTCCAGAGACAATGACAAACTTGGTCATAGCCGCCATTTGTCTTTTTTAAAATCAAATCTCCTGCCTCCTGCCCAGGCCTGACTTCCTGACTGGACACTGAACTTGCCTCTGGGCCAACTGGTTGCTACCAATTCCAAAATGACATTGTGTCACAGCCTCCGACACATTGTAATATCAGGAGCTGGAAATGTTCTGGGTGCCAGGTTCCCAAATGAACATTAAACCCCTGGGTGACTGTTATTCCCAGATTGGAGACCTGCAGCTCAATCTACGCTGATCGTTAAAATGTTTTGTACAAAAGTAAAGCTCCAAAAGGCTAATACAAGGGGATAGAAGGCATGCTTTAGTTGTACAAACCCTTGCTTAGACTGTATTTGGTGTCACTATGAGTAATCCTGGCCACCAGAATCTAAGGATATACTGGCCTTGGAGAGAGTAGTATAAATATACAAGAATGATAGGGAGACACCAAAAGTTTACACAGAAACATAGAAACTTAGATAATAAGAACAGGAATAGGCTATTCAGTCCTTCAAGCCTGTTCTACCATTCAATCTGATCATGGCTGATCCTCCAACTCAGTGGCCTGTTCCTGCTTTCTTCCCCCTACCCTTTGTTCCCCTTAGGCCTAAGAACTAAACCCTCAACTTAAGCCTATTTGTAACTCCTTCTTGTTTTGGCCTCAACTGCTTTCTGAGGCAGAGAATTCCACAGGCTCAGCACTCTCTGGGTGAAGAAATTTCTCCTCATCTCAGTCCTAAATGGCCTACCCCAGATCCTTAGACTGTGACCCGCTAGATCGGCACTCCCCAGTCATCGGAAACATCCTTCCTGCATTTACCCCATCCGCTCCTGTTAGAGTTTTATAGAGTTTCTGTGAGATACCCCACTCATTCTTCTACACTCTAGTAAATATTGTCCTCACTGAACCAATCTCTTTTTAGTCAGTCCTATCATCCCAGGAATCAGTCTGCTCAGCCTTTGTTGCACTCCCTCCTTAGCCAGATCAAGAAGAGATTACGCAAACTTAATACCCTAGAATCTAAATGCTGGATTAATCAATGTTCTTGTGATATTAAGGGGAAACAGGATTAAAGGTAAACAGATAAATTCTTTGTGCAGGTCGAAGACTTTAGGACTTGGGAACTTGTAAATCAATTAGAGCCAGACCTGTAAGGGGATGTTGTTAATTTTAAAATGTGAGATTGATCAGTGAGACTGTTCAGGGATAGGCTGGAAAGAATGCAGTTAAGTCACTAATCAGCCATGATCTTATTGGATGCCACAATAGGATAGAAGGGGCTGAATGGCCTCCTGTTTTCATGTGGCTTTGATTTCCGTCATATGGTAGGGAGGTGGGGTTGATACTAAATGTTCAGGAGGTGTAAATGTTACTTTTTTTAATTAATAAATCCCCTCACCTACCCCACCCCTCCATGTCCCCTCGCTCTGTAAATACAGGCGGCTCTGGCTGAGTTGGAGACAGTCACTCCAGGGACAAAGTGATGTGGGAATTAATTAATTTTAAAGTGATCCCACGTGGTGGAGTGTGAACAGAGACTAAAGAGGCTGCATAAATATCAGTTTGTGTGAGGTACTGGACAGGGAGGGAATGGGCAGTCACAGGAAGAAAAGCCTTTGTGAAGAAACGTCAGTTTAATAATGTTGAATTATCCTAAGTGGAATTGACTTAACAAAACACTGGCACGTTCGTTCTTACCCAGTGAGTTTCGGTTCTCATCTGCCAAAGTGTCAACTGCACAGTCTGGTAAATGAACTGTCGAGTGTAATTTCCACCTTCCCCCCGCTCCCCCCACCCCTTCACCCCTACAAACCATAAACTAACAGT